TTATTATTATTTATGAAACTGTTGAGACAGTTTAGTGACAAAACGTGAACCCTCTTCAGTCTTTGACCTGAACATCCCCACAAGAGCTCAGGTGCACATTTGTTGAACCTCCAAGCATTTACAGTGAAAAAGATCACCTGCAACAAGTTTAAACAAGCAGACAGCATGCATGACAGATCAGACACAGGATGTGGATGGATAAGATTTTAGACATATAGAAATAAAAGTGTGTTTGCATGTTTTTTGTGCGCTGTTCCAAACGAAATACCTAAATTCATAAGTATCACTCGCCGATGAAGGCGAATGGGGAGCGATAATGTTTTTCCTCCTGTCTGTCTTTATGTCTCCGTGCTTAAATGGCTCATGAACCACTTGACGACTTTGAAAGAAACTCTCACAAAGTAATCATTGGATGAACATGGACAACTTAAATTACTATAATTCAGTAAATATTTCAACTATTGCCTTAAAATTCGTCATGCTAGTAACCACACAGCACATAAGTATTGAATAATTCACAAGATAATTCACTAAAATATTTGGTTTATTAATTTACATCACTGCTGTTTGTCTGTTAGCAAAATATCTCCTGAAACATTGGACCGATTTGAATGAAACGTTCAGAAAGTAATCACTGAATGAACGAAATCAACTGATAAATGTTTGGAGTCAGTCCCATTCAATATGGCCTCCAAGGCTAAGCTACCGTAGCAAACATTTATATGGCTACAACTCAGTAAATATCACAGCTATTAACCTACAAATTGGCATTATTGTAGCACTGCAGGCTCCATGCAATGCATAATATTCTTTTCAGAAAAATCTTTGTTTTAATTATTGGCATCAATCATGTTTGTCTGTYAGTAAAATATGTCATGAAACACTGAACCAATTTGAATGAAATCAAGTGTCCATTGGATGTAATTTTACAAGGGATTCAATTTTGAAGTCACCCTTATTCAAATGAAAAACAAATCTCACAAATGCTAAACTAAAATGATGGTGTGGGAGTAGTTCAGAGTCATCCCCAACACACAATCCTGTAATAAAACACTTTGGAAAGGAGGGAGCATTCAGGAAACCTTTCTTGACTTCAAGATGAAACAGTATGAAACATTCAGCAGCTTTCTCTGCAACTTGGTTTGACATTCTCTATCCAAACCAAATACGCTGTGACAGCGGGGGGGCAGCAAACATTGACTCATAATATTTTGGACATTGTGAATGAGGTTCTGAATGTTGAGAGCACAAACCCTGATTTCAATATATTTAATGTGTTTGAGCATATAAGTGAAATACAGACATTTATAGGTAAGAAGAGAAGRAGAAACAGAGAGCAAAAAATAAAATAATAAATTCCCAGATTGAGATAAACAGTCTAAAAATGTCAAAGTAGAGCCAGTCAAAGTCTAAGTTAAACTCTTCACCGGGCGTTGTGTTTGCATTGATCTGCAGGTGAGTGTCAGGCATGAATCTRCCACTGTAGTATAAAGAAATGCCAATAACAATTTCAGCAAAACAACATTCATTATTCCCAGCTATCTACAGRAGGGTGATATACTGCACACTTCTTGGATAAAGTCGGGCCGTGGTGCAGAGTGTCGTRGACCATCTGGGAAACGAACAGGGTGCTTTGAAGTAATTGAGAGCAACACACATGAACATAAACCTTTGTCACTAAAAGATAAAGTGCTCCCTAATAAGAGATCTGCTAAGCTTCCTCGTTCTACCAGAGACAATTAGCATTCCCTTTATTCCAGCAGAGATATACTTGCAGAGCCATAAAACACTACTGCAAGAAAGTTCACCGCAGATACTACAAATAAATTTWGATTGTCACCCAAAAATGTTTATAAGTCAAGGCGGGTAAACCAATGTGTGTGAAGCAATTGCTCTTCAGTGTGCCTTTTCAGTTTAAAAATATATAATGTAAGTTAAGGATGATTATGAGTGTAAACTGAGAGCTCTGTTTTTTTTATGTTTTTAGATGATTACACAATCAAATCGTATCAACTAGACGTGCAACACTGCAGCATAAAAAATGTATGAAAAATGAATGAGAGGAAATAAACTAAAGCCTCAGAGCCCGTGCTCCTGCCAATAGGTGAAGTTGGTTCTTTTGTGTCTGCTGCCACCTTGTGGTGCGTAAATGAACTGCAGGCGGAGGATTAGAGAAGCAAAATAGTTCCCCCCACACATTAGTTTCTCACTTCTTGGTGTCCTTGAGATAGCTCACAGATTTGTTGACTCACGAGAGATTTCGTGGCACAATGTCTGCTCGGCTATACCCTGCCAAATCTGGAGGAGGTGAAGAGTCAAAATGCGAAAGAGTAAAAAGAGATTCTGCAGCTCAGACGGTGACCATCAACACTCTTCCGTTATCAAATAGTTATATAAATAAGATCAGTTCATGTGGATGAACAAAACTAAGATATTTCCATTTAAGCTGTCATACAGACAAAAATGAGTATATGTTCAAATAAAAAAACTTGTGAGCTGATAAGGCATGAACCAGCTTTCATTGTCCACATCAAAGCCCACATAGAAACACAACTTTACCCCCAAATAAATTAGCATTAAGGTTCTTTAAATATTGAAAAGTCAAACCAGCCATTTACAAAGCACAGCAGTTTGAAGTTCATCACCTGAAACCTGTACTCATGTCAGTATTGACAGAACAAGCAAGCAGCTGATAAGAATATAAGTAGACAATAAGTCAACATGTCAGGGAACTATTGCTAATTCACATACAAATTATATTTAAAACATATAKATATTGCACTCTAACAAATTAAATTCAGATAGTTTACACTTTTTTTTCTTTTTAAGTGGAACAATTTGTCACAATTTATGTATGCCTTCTTGGGTTAATTATAAAAATGTCTTTGTTTCCATTTGTTTTCAGTGACTTCCATTGCTTTGAGAGGATCTCTCCATATTTCTGTTACCTGCCCAGCCTGGCAGTTTTACGTTTTGCATTCTGTGTTCTCACCCAATGTTTTCTGCTTTGAGTCTTGTTTTCAGCTTCCACTTTTCCTCATTCAGCAATCACTTAAGGCCCTGTCACAATAGACAACTTATGCCAACTTATGAAACATTTTATGTCTATATTGCTAATAAGTTATATATTTGATCAATTTTTCAAATTACGTTATGTACATCACCAAAAAGAAGCTTCCTGTTGATTTTTTTCAATTTCATCTTCAATGTAAACATCTTTAAAATRTTCCTAAGTTGGCATAAGTTGTCTAGTGTGACAGGGCCTTTACCAGTACTTATACTTTATGCTCCTTATACTCCTGACAGTTTCGTGTTCAGATGTAATTTTCCTGCTCAGTCTTTTTTTTTTATTCATATGTTTCTTTTGAGTTAAGCCTGCCTGCTCATCAACTGCCGCTCTGCACTCTTGGGTCCAAACCAACAACACCTTGCTACATTCTAAGATCATTTTACAGGTTCAAACAAGCAGGTTTTGTTTGCTTTGTGTTGATCTATGAGGCACGTGTCTTGTGCATGTAAATGTAACTAACCTCATGGGCCAATTGAGGACAAATGTTCAAAATGTTCTTATATTTTAAATATAGACAACAAGGTTGACCAAAACAAGTTAATATGACTAAGTCAAAAATCACTAATATTCCATTTTCTAAGGTGTATAATAAATTACATTTGAGTTCTTCCCAGAAAAAGCTTCAGTAACTGGACATTTTAAAGTCAAAAAAGAAACAAATCCAGGCATAAATCTGACTCTGCAAAAGAAAGCATGCAGGTGCAAACGTTTACGCCTCCTCGCAGCGTCTTTCACAAAAAAAAAATCTTCTCAACTGAATGAGAAGAACAAAACACTCTTTGCTCTTCCTGCTTATCATGACAGCTATGGGCCAATGTAGACAGTTCTGAAATTAGAAAAGTGTTCACTACTC